TCTATCTATCTGTCTGTCTGTCTGTCTAGCTATCTATCTATCTGTCTGTCTGTCTGTCTGTCTATCTAGCTGTCTGTCTGTCTAGCTGTCTGTCTGTCTGTCTAGCTATCTATCTGTCTGTCTGTCTGTCTGTCTATCTAGCTGTCTGTCTGTCTAGCTGTCTGTCTGTCTGTCTAGCTATCTATCTGTCTATCTATCTAGCTCTATCTGTCTGTCTGTCTGTCTGTCTGTCTGTCTGTCTGTCTGCCTGTCTGTCTGTCTGTCTATCTAGCTGTCTGCCTGTCTGTCTGTATGTCTGTCTGTATTCCGTTTTCATTTGAATTAAAGTTTTAGTCATTTTAGTACATCAAGTTAAACTAAATGAAAATAAGGAATGCTGAATTTTTTTCTTTCAGTTTCAGTTTATTTTGTTTCAATTAACAAGAATGTTTTTAAGGCTTTAAAAAGCACACAAAAGATGGGTTTTTAACATGTGGACACCAGTATGATTCTGAGATACTATTTGACCCAGAAAGGTTTTTTGATGGCCGATACTGATAATTAGACTACAGATCTAGATACTTTCATCTAGAAATTATATTACTAGAAATTATATTATATTATATTATATTATATTATATTATATTATATTATATTATATTAATTATTTTTTAAGTTTTTGGAAGTGTCTTCTGTTCACCAAGGCTGCATTTATTTAATCAAAAATACAGTAAAATGTGTTTTATTTTTAATTACAATTTAAAATAACTGCTTTCTATGTGAATATATAGTAAAATATAATTTATTCCTGTGATCTAAGCTGAATTTTCAGCATCATTACTCCAGTCTTCAGTGTCACATGATCCTTCAGAAATCATTCTAATATGATTTGATACTGAAGAAACATCTCTTATTATTATCAATGTTGGATGCAGTTGTGCTGCTTCATATTTTTGTGTAATATATATCGGTTCTATAAAATATATAATATTGTAAATATACCCTCTGGTGTGTGCAGTTACATAAAATGCTTTTTTGTAATAAATGTGGATAGGTCTATTGGTCTAATCTGAGCCATCACTATAGTTTACAGTATTGCACAGAGACTATGCAGGGAGCATAAACACTCACTGGCCTTAAATATAAGTGCCTGTAAAATGATTCCCTCTAATCTTTTGTCTTGTCATATGAGTTAATCCAAACCTATTTTCATGCGTCTTTATTCAGTCTCAGCAGTTGATGTCACAAGACAAGACACTTTCTTCATTTAATTCTGCAGCATTAGTGGCCGGCATTCACATTGAAGTGATCAGTGTCAACATGTTACACAGCCAATCACCTATCAATGATTCTTCATACATTTTACACTTAGTCATTTCATCTTTTCCCAGCACTTTTTACATTTCAGTACTGAATGATCTCTATGATAATGTCCCATCTCTTGCAGAGCATATCACCACACGGGCTCTTCATTTTATTCGGTAAGGATGCATTTATTACTCCTCTAGATTAGATGTGCAGACAGCTATTTTTATGATGGCAGTAGAGGATAGAAGCTGAGCGATGAGACCATTTCCTTACAAACACAGTCGGGAGATTATTTGCAGATTGTGTCCCGTCTTATGAATGTTCAAATTCTCCCATACACACGCTCAGTGGGTGTCATTGTTATTGTCCCTACAATTTAATAACTGTCAACAACAGAGACAGACCTTAGTGTGAGTGATATTCTTTAAAATCGCTCTATGTTTGCTTGCTCTGAGCATGTGAGGAGTTACTGTCGCCCTCTGCCTTCAATAATGAAACCCTGAGATCTGCAGATAATGTATTATTTGCTATAAATTGTGTTCACAGTGGGTTTCAGCAAAACAAAAAAGTCTAAAATTTCTCTTTTATCCCGGCAGGAGTGTACGGAGATGTTCACAGAGTCAAGATTCTGTTCAACAAGAAAGAGAATGCCTTAATACAGATGGCAGACGCCACGCAAGCCCAGCTCGGTACGCCAGGCATTACATTGAAATCCTTTTCATCTTGATACACTCTCTTCATCCTTTGATCAGGCGTCTTTATCTGAGTATTCTGTGTCTGTATTAAAGCTACAAATCAGCAAGCAGACCTGCCAACCTGTACGCATTTTGACCTCAAAGTACACCGGTACGATTTTCACTTTAAACTACGCAAAAACCTGGTGACGCCTCTGTCCACACGCAGTACTCAAATCAAAAGAAGAGTTCGACCAATCAGAGTGCTGGATTCATTCCCCAAATAGCAAGTGGGGATGACTGACAAATGCCGTAGGCCTATCATGAAAAAGAGACTGCAAATCGACAGCAACACAAAATCCCGCTCGATCCCCCTTCTACTCCCGCAGTGTGACAGATTTCTTATGCTAGGACAGTAGAGTAATCATTATTTCCTTTTTTTTCCCGTTTTGCGTTTGTGCATTTGAAAAAGTAACACACGCTGAATAACTTCCCTTGTAGTGAGAAGCGTTTCTAAACCTGTTGTCCAACAAAAGAGAACATTAACATGTTTTTACTCCACAACATCAGTCGAGTGTTTGAAATAACTTCCATTTGTGATCTGATGTGGCTTCTTATCACAGAATGAGGCAGAAAATATATTCTATACTGTAAAAAAGGTTGAGTAGCAATGGGTTATAAATAAACAATTATTATAAAAATACCCTAGATGGCATTTTATACAGTAATTTTTTCTAAATGATTTACATAACTTTCTGGTTGTGTTTTATGAACGAGGTGTACAAAACGGGGGTTAAGTACTCAGAAGATGAGTGACACTCATATTTAGAGGCTTTGTGTGTGTGTGAAATGTTGAAAAAAAACTTGTATACATGAGTTTTCATTCTTTAAATGTAAGAAAAAGATTTGTTCAGTGTAAGAGCGTAATACATTGTGTCTCACTCAGGTTTAAAGCTTATCTGTAACACATTATCTTTGGGTTTGTTTGTTAAGCGATGAGCCATTTGAACGGTCAGCGTCTGCATGGTAAGGTGATCCGTGTGACCATCTCAAAGCACCAGACGGTGCAGCTCCCCAGGGAGGGTCAGGAGGACCAGGGCCTGACCAAAGACTTCAGTGGGAGCCCGCTGCACCGCTTCAAAAAGCCCGGCTCCAAGAACTTCCAGAACATCTTTCCTCCCTCCGCCACCCTGCACCTCTCAAATATCCCGTGAGTGACTGGCGCACACCCACACATTGGGCACCACACGCTCAATACAGCATGTTACAAAATATTGCAACAAAAAACAACTCAAATTTGCTGGACTAACTTAAATAAGCATTTTTAAAAATCTGCAAATCTCAAGGTTTTTTAAATGATAATAATTAATGTTAAAGGGGTCCTATTATGCTTTGTATTATTACAAAGTCTTGATTTTGTTTTGGGGGTGTACTAGAACAGGCTCTCATACTAGGTTGTTCGAAAAACACATTATTTTTCACATATTTTACATTATTACAATAATAATGGCATGAACGGCTCGAATAGTTCCTGTATCAAATGAAGGCCCGCCTTCTGAAATATGAAATGTGCTGTGATTGGTTAGCTGGGCCAGTGTGTGTTGTGATTGGTTAGAAACGATGAGTGGGCCCGGTGACGTTTTGCTTGACTCCAAAAGAGTTTATTAGGTCAGTAAACGCAAGTCCTAATGCATCATTTGTATTATCAACGTGAATATTAAAATCTCCGACAATTAGAGCTTTATCAACAGTAACCAACAGGTCTGAGAGGAAATCTGCAAATCCTTTAAGGAAATCTGTATACGGCCCTGGTGGTCTATACACAGTAGTCAGAGCAAGCGATACGATCGATTTCTTTTGCATATCTGACAGTGTAACATTAAGCATTAGTAGTTCGAATGAGTTAAACCTGAATCCTGTCTTCTGAGTAACATTGAGAATATCACTATATATTGTTGCAACACTGCCGCCACGACCAGTCTGACGGGGCTCATGCTTATAATAGTAGCTTGGTGGAGTAGACTCATTTAGACCAATATAATCATTAGGTTTTACCCAGGTTTCAGTCAAGCAGAGTACATCAAAACGATTATCTGTGATCATTTCATTTACAATAACTGCTTTGGGTGAGAGTGATCTAATGTTTAGGAGCCCAAACTTTAAAAATGGTTTTTGTTCATTTATTTTAAATTGTTCTGGTTTAATCACGATCAGATTTTTTCTAGATCCTGCATTAAATTTATATTTTGACCTCACTATTCGGGGAACAGACACAGTCTTTATAGATTGGACAGCACAAGTACTTCTATCATTTAAGCGGGTAGAACAAAAGTCATCAGGGCAGTTATTTGAGATTTGACTTACTAGTCACATGGAGCGCAGCGTCCTGGAGATGTTGTCCGACATGAGCTCCACCCCGACTCTGCTGGGATGCAGACCATCAGCGCGAAACAGCCTAGGACGCTCCCAGAAAAGATTCCAGTTATTAACAAAGAGCAGTTTCTGTTCTTTACACCATGACAATAACCATTCATTTAAAGCAAAAAGCCTACTGAACGTTTCGTGTCCTCGTCGATACGTGGGAAGCGGTCCTGACACGATGATCGTCGTCGCGGGCGATGTGCGGCGCACCGTCTCGATCAGGCTCCTGAAGTCCCTCTTCAGCGTCTCCGTCTGCCGCAGCTTGGTGTCGTTAGCCCCCGCGTGAAGCACGACCGCTCCGGGGCTCTCGTCACCCTTCAGGATAGCGGGTATCTGCGCAGAAACATCGAGAACACGAGCACCAGGGAAACAGTGAGTGTGCACCTTACCTTCAGCTAACGTAGCACGGACGTGCCGGACGATGGAGTCTCCGATGATCACAGCGTCGCGTTCCGTCTCGCGGAGGGGAGCGAAGCGGTTCCGGGTGGTGTGTGCTGTGATTGGTTAGCTGGGCCAGTGTGTGTTGTGATCAGCAGCACTCGGCGGCTGGTCGGGAAATGTCACGCCCCTTAGCATAGCCGCCTGCGAGCTTCAGTGTAAATATTGCGTCAAAATCAAATCAATTTGAGTGCGATTTAAACCTGGATGATTGTAAACACTCTAAGTTCATCTGGCTTGGGAAAGCTAGCATGTCTCCGACATAGTGATAACACTCGTTGCCTTCTCTAGTGCAGCTCAACCAGGTCTCGTCCCATTCGTCGATATTTGTGATCTCACAAATCCCGGAAAATATGCGTTGTAGTCCAAACGAGTCGTTCCTTGTAGTTTTTGAAAAGTGATTTCTGTTAAATAAAATATCTCCTTTTGAAGTGAACTTTGAGCTTTGTAACTTTGCAGATGTTTTTTATGCTCAAACAGCAACATTACAGATTAACTAAAGTTGAAAAAGTGAAAAAGCATAATAGGACCCCTTTAAAAATGTTATATTTAATAACATTAATTTTAAACTTAGAATGATTTGCTTTTTATTTATATTATTCATATTAAATTAAACTTTATAAAATACTTGTGGGGGTAAACTTTTTAAGTCACTAGAAAAATAGACATTGACTGCATTGCAATATATAAAACATATGAGGCTTGAATTTCCAGAAAAAGAAACCTCATTGTGATGCATAATTTTACAGCGATGTAAAATTACTTATACCATGATATATAATTATTATTCATATCACCCCACACATATTATCATATTATTAGCAGTTGTTTCACTCCACTAGAAGTCTTACATTATTGTTGGCATCAGATAAGGTGCCTTTTTTTGTCCTTTGTAATCACTGTGTTGTTGTTTCTTTTCCCCCCAGCCCCTCCACTACAGATGATTTTCTGAAAGACCTGTTTGCCGGTTCTGGATACACAGTCAAGGCCTTCAAGTTTTTCCAGTGAGTTCTCTTAACATTTGTTTTTGTTCTCAGCCTTCATTTATCTGATTTTAGTAAGTATCTGTTCACACGGGGAAGAGTCTACTTGTACCTTTCTTCATGACAACATGGCTGATAAGGATTCGTTTTTTGTGAAAACATAAATGGAATGTTATCAACAATGTCTACATGATCCTCTAAAAATTTAACAGGGATTTTAAGTTTACTAGGGAAAAAATGTGTAGCTAGATGGCCCTTTAGGAGCAGGAACATTTTACATTGTTTAAAGGGATAGTTTCTTTGTAGTTCTTTCTTCTGCTGAACACAGAAGATATTTCGAAGAATGTTGGTAACCAAACAGTTGATGGTAGCCATTGACTTCCATAGTATGGAAAAATACCATGGAAGTCAGTGGCTACCAGCAACTGTTTGGTTACCAACATGCTTCACTTGAGGTTGAGTAAATGATGACAGACTTTTTGGTTGTTTTTTTGTAAGGTAAATGTGATTTAACTTTTTACTTGATGGTTACCCCATGTGACGAGTTGAGAGTAGTCATTAAAACTATTTAAACGTTTTTGTTGAAAATGCTGTAAATGTTCATTCACCACCATTTGAAACCTACACAAATATGTTTTAAACTTAGTTTTCAAAAGATTTTTTTTTTTTAATTCTTGGATTGTCATTGGACCAACTGGTCCTAAATTTGGCTGATCTTGAGTTGTTTCAGGATCACCCAGTGTCTGATTTTCACTATCCATATATGATTAATAGGAAAGACCGCAAAATGGCGCTGATCCAGCTGGGTTCGGTGGAAGAAGCCATCCAGGCTCTTATCGACCTCCACAACCATGACCTGGGAGAAAACCACCATCTGCGAGTGTCTTTCTCCAAATCCACCATATAGCACCACCTTCACTACAGTCCAAACGCACCCTTTTCCCATCCTCCCCATTCCAGCCCTTCTACCTTCAGCAGTCTGACTGTTTCGTTCAGAGAATAAGACTGACTGACAAACTCTAAAAAAACAATTATAGATATTCATGGGGTAGTTTTAGAGATTTTCAAAAGAAAAAACAAAAACAAAAAAAAGAAAGAAAAAAAAAAAAGCAAATAAGAGACTACTGCAGAACCTTTAGACAGTCTCAGAGTGAGTTTGATTTACTCTCACAAAACCAGGGCTGAAGACACATGGGATATCCATGACAATGTGACATTTCTGGGAACCTCCATGTGGAGGAAGTAGGACTCCCTCTTTAGTCTATTGGCGAGAACTTTGTTGATGTGAAACGCAAACTAATATGGGGTGAACATTCTCAAAAAAGTCAATGCTGAGGAAGTTTCTTCACCGCACACTTACCGATTACATTGGAGACTGACGCTCCTGTAGCCCAATGGCCTTGTTACCCCAGACCTAAGTGAGGGCGGAGTCTCCTCTGTGCCTCCCCCCAAAAAATGTCACCTTCATTCTCATTGGCTGTTTCAACGGAGAGTCGCATTTCCCATGGGATGTGTTGAACGCACGGTCACCGTTTGAATGTTGCTGACGTCATCATCAAGGTGCTGCTGGAAAATAAAATCTGTAGCGACGGTCTCGACCAATGGACTTGTCCTTTTTCTTCAGAGTAGCATTAAAATAAGAGTGCTATGGATTCAAGAATGAGTGCATTTAAAATTCTCAGCTGTTTCGGCTTACAAATCTTTTGTTTCTCAGCACTTTGATTTGAATGGAAGACAGGCACCATGGGGAATGTTTGGCATCCTCATATCTGTTTACTGTGCAAAGATGTATAGCCAGATGGTAGGCATCTGTGAATAGATAGTGAATGGCGTGATTTGTTATTTTTTTCTTGTATTATGAAAATTTTATATGAAACAGACCGGCCTTTTGTGGGCTCTCTGCACCTGCAATGTTGTCAGAGAACATCTTTGTTGCAATGGCGCGATGTCATTGTCCAGTCGATCGGGTTCCTCTGAACCGGGACGAACATTTTCAAACATGCATGATCATTCCGGAAAACTCGCGGCCAGCTGTCAACCTTACTGGAACGCTCCAATCAGCAACGCCCAGCCTGAAAAGAGGCTCCACCTCCTCCAAAGTGAAATTCTCAATGTGAATGGTATAGCCTGTGATCTTGATGGGAAATTGATAATTTCCTCCATTCTGTTCCCCTTCTTGCTCTTAGTTGAGTCTTTTCCTTTCGTTCTTCTTGTTTTCCATCATTCCACACAGGGGCAGACGGTTCTGTGCTCGTTACTCTGTTCTTTCACTCCTCGGCTATGTCCACAGGTGTGAGTTTGCAGCCATGGGCTCTGTAGAAACCGTAGTGAAACCCATTGAGTCACGGCAAAAAAAGAAAAGGCGGCACTCTCTTTTGCCTTGCAGTCCCACACTAAATGCCTCCACAAAGAGCAATTCGGAGTGACATGGAGACGCCACCTATTTCTCAAAACCTAGTGAGCTGCTGCATAGGCAGCTGCCTTCTAAGGCAGCATCCTAATTGCCATGAAAGCCTATTAGTGACTGATCTGGAGTGCTCTAGAACTGACTAATAGCACAGGAGTGCACAGGAAACTTGCCTCCAATAGAGTCCAGGCCAGAGGTTTTCTTCTAGAGGTGGAGATGTTAAACTTTGAGTCTGTGAATCTTCTAAGTCAATCACACAAAGACCTTGGCATCATGGAAATGCTTGCAAGCTCCAAATATAGCTTACTCCAAAACTAGCATCTCCTCCATTGATTCCATTTAAAAATCGATACATTACACGTTTTGAGCAGCGTTTGAAGGCTAGCATTGGATTTGTTTGATTTTAGTACAATTAGCATGTTGCTAAGCTAATAAGTCCAATCGTAAAAATACATAGCACATGCCAATATTGAGCTTCTACTATGAATTCTTTACACTTATTACAGTGGTGGGCTTTGAGGTTAACATGTTGCTAAGCTAATAATGTGGTGTGGCATGATGCGACACAACAGTAAACTGATGCCCCGTTCTACTTCTGACGTACTACAAGCGTTTGCGCTACTTCCGACAACAGGACAAATGGATTTGGAACTTTGGCTTTTTTCAGTATAGACAGTCTAGAGATGTTGCAGTGCAATGCGACAAACATCACACACTGCATAAATGTAAAAATACCTAGAACATACTCAATATTTGCTTGTGCTATGTATTTCTACACTTCAGGTATCGCAACATTAGCCTAGCAACATGCTAATGTCAAACTCTGGAATGAGTTGATTCATCTGATTGATCAATTTTAGCGGGTTTTGGCCTGATGCGAAAAATCAACACTGCAGTCAAAATAATGCATTTTTAAACAGGTTAAACAAATTTATAGATATTTTTCTTCAGTGAATTATAAGTATATTCATAATCAACATTTGCCTTGATTCACCCACCATCTTGAATGAGCTTCACAGTGCATTCTGGGATTGCCTTATCCACAATGGTTACATGCAGATTAGATTTTGGCCAAAATTAGATATCCTAGAAGGCTGGAACAGCCCTTGTGCCGGGAGCGCACCTGTGATGCCTTAAAATGCCATCTAAATAGGCAGCTCACTAGGTTTTGGAACATGGTAATGGTGTGCATACACAGAAGCTGATTCTGTATATGTATGTGTTCTGTTAGTACTAGTGTATTATTACCGGTTTCATTTGGACTGTTTAGGATATTTGATGACTCGCTTGTGCATACGAGCGAGGCGCTGTCTTATTTAGTGATAATCTGGCCTTAACATTCCAAGGAGGGTCACCGTAGACCTGTTGAGTAGCATCTAAAGGGAGCAGCTTCTATGCCTGTGCGCTATATCCTCTATCAGTGTCCATTTGAATCACAGTTATGAAATAAATCAACAATCTTCATGTTCATGCAAGGCAAGGGATAGTGGCTTTTTTTGTCTTTGACTGATTTCACCTGAAGCGATTCAAAACGTCGCTTTCACTTCTCAAAAGAAATTGAATTTTGTTGAAGTTTACAGTCTTAAAGCAAAACTATTCAGGTCTATATATCTTAAGGATTGTCAAGATTTTTTGAGAAAAAAAGTTACTTATTTTTGGTAATTTGTTCTTTTTTATGGAAGAGAGAAAAAAAATCTAATTTGAAACCTCATCGGGTTTTTGTACCACTATAATCATTCAAGAAATCATGGTGAAAAAAAAATCATATTTACTGTGTATTTACCTAATTTCTTATTACGTGCCTTATTATGTGTTCATAATCAAATAGGTTTTAGAAATTGTACCTAAAATATCTTATGTACTATTTTGTGGGATTGGTGAGAGGGTTGATTTATTTTGATCTTGATTTTTATTTTATTTTTTGTTGTGTAGCTCTTATTGATGTGCATTTTGTGGGGACTCAGTACCATGTGGTCTTAATATGAAATGAGATGTAAGTTATGATGTATGGTGCTGTGAATGCTCTTATTAGAAAAATTAACGGTGAACTCAGCGATGTTCAGAGCATGCTGTGGGTCTCTATTCTCCCTCGTTGATGTGTGTGTGTGTGTGTGTGTGTGTGTGTGTGTGTGTACATATGTATGCTAGACCCGCATACCATTGTCACATAAAGCCTTTCTAGGCCACAATTGTGTTCCTCCATCTCTGATATAAATATTTTGTGCTCAGAGACAGAGGTTGCTGTAAGCTTGCGTATTGTTCTGATTAAATAGTATGAAATTATGAGCTGTTATGAGCACATCTGTGAAGTTTTTGTTCTTTTCTAAGTGATCACACTTTTTCGCCAAGCGAATGTTAAAATGGGCAAAAAAAATTCCAGTGGCTTTTATTAAAGGAGCCACCCAAGTCATATCTAGAGTAGTGGTCGACCGATATATCGCAAAGATATATCACCAATTCTGTTTACCCAATATGTCAGAGGCGGGACTTTTATTTTGATGGCACGGGACTTTTATTTTGACAGCGCTGAGAATATCGGCGCTTAAACGTACACAGCTCCCGTTCTCCATCTTCATTAGTTTACCGTCTCTGTTTAACAGCTCTGACTAATAAATTAGTACACAGAACTATACTTAAAAGTGTTATAGTGTTATAGTAACAGAAAAACAAAGGCTATAATACTTTTTCATCTACCGTCATCAAATACGCATTTAATTTAATCAAAAGGCTTTGAATATGTAGTAAATTTTACTGACCGTGCAAACTTTATTGAATTCAGCTGCGAGATCTTCTGAAATGTGCATTTGTTGACGGCATAAAAATTACCTTCTAATTAAATCTATTTATCGTACAGATTTATTTTCATTAAGTTCGAATATTTTTTTTCTTTATTAATTTTCAAATTCTAACATTCAGTAAATAGTATGTACAATAAATAGGCCTATACATTTAATTTAAGCATTTGCTATGTGTGCATGTGTTTTTACTATCTTTATATGAAATAGTGTGATATATCAGATTTATATCGGCCACCATGCTCTCTAAGATATCGGCCATCAAAATCAGTCGACCACTAATCTAGAGACTTGGAGGTGGGCTCTTTTTACTTTGGGCCAGTAAGTAACCACCTAGCAACCATCAGAACCCCCTAGCAACTGCATAGCAATGCATTAAAACCGCTTTGAACATCTTAGCAACCATATAGCAACATTCTGGCAACCTCCCACAAACCATAATGTGATGCCGGCGAGTTTTTCGCCGGATGGACCACTCAGAAATCAATATCTGCCAATGTGGACTATATCATACAGTGTGATCTGCTTGATATCATCTCTGTTCTGTCATTCTAATATGATTATGAAACTCCTAATACATATGATCAGTCTAAATTTGCCTCGGAACGAGTGAGCAGAGACCCAGAAGCCCACAGCATTCGCTCTGAGTGTTCAGGTCTGCCTTTTATTTTGCTATGGAGTGATGCTGATGTCTGAGACCTCCGCCTGTGTGTTTTGGAGTTGTATCTTATTTACTGTATCTTATTATTGATTCATTTTAGGGGTTTTGGCCTGTTTC